AGAGAGAGAGAGAGAGAGAGAGAGAGAGAGAGAGAGAGAGAGAGAGAGAATGAATAGGAAGATGGAGACATACGCGAAAAGAGCCCCTGGTAAGCCGGGGTGAAATCCCGAATGCGTCTCATAGAATTACTGAGGGGGGATACCAGGCGCCGCTGCGGTTAGCGCTAACGTACAACTCGCCCCGGTAGTGATGGTGTTTTCATTCGTATTTTGTCACTTTCTAGGAATTCGGCGTGCCGCTAGACTACCATAGCCGCGGCAAAGCTATGGTAGTTAGGATTGGAAAGCCTCCTCTCACCCAGCGAGGACACGGTTCCAGTGGAGCCGAGCCCATTCCCCTTTACGGGCCTGCTCTACCCCTTGCTGCTCGGCAGGTACGGTGACTGGAGAATATGGCGAATTGACATGACTGGTTGACTGGATGCTGACTTGCAGAACTCTCCCGCAAAGGGAGATTTGTATTGATTCAGAAGACACCCGCAGGAGAAGACAAATATAAATCCAACTCTTAGGGCCAGATCCCACTGGCAAGGACGATTGGAATAAGTGTCTGAATCTGGACGTGTCACGCAGAGATGCAGAAAACCACACCAATCACAGTTTTCTGCACCTCGCCACAAACACGTCCAGATTCAGACACTCTTTCCAATCCTCTTTGCCAGTGGGATCTGGCCCTTAGTATGCCTTGGATGGTTCTTGGGGAATAATTAACACAGTCTTGTTGTAAATGATTGAAGCCTCAGAAGGTTGTTTTATCTATTATGGTCATTTTTTCTTTTCTTTTCTTTTGTGGGAACATGCTCCAATCTATTCGTGGGGAGCAGCACGTGCTGGGAACCAAGCCCAGCGTCCCATTCAAGATCATATTGAGAAATTGAGAAATTTATGGAAAAATCCTTGAGATACCCGGGCCATTACCCTTCTTCGGCTAAGAAAGACAATTGTGTAGTCTACACAAGAACACTAAAATTCTCTATCCCCCAAAGCTCGGATCAAAGGTCCTGGAGCATTCAGAACGAAAGAACCACCTGCTTTAGTGCCTTTCAGCAGCCCAACCCTACCTGCCTCACCCCTATATCCCGACCCCCAATCTCTACCAGGCCTCAGGCCCCCAACTGCTAGGTTACAGAGTGGCACGACCCACCCCAGAAACCCCCCACCTGCTAGGCCACAGGGCAAAGCGACCCGCGCCGGCTCCGGCCGGCATGGACTAGGCACCAGCTCAACAAAAGACACTAGATTGCCTTCCACCCTCGACAACTCCCCAGATCTCTCTACCAGGTCTCTTTTTTTGGGGGGGTAACTACGAAAACAGTTTGTAATTGCATTTGAAACTGCATTTCAGCAGTTTAGTCAGGGCCCCAGTTTCAATTGCAGTTGAAACTCTGGCTGGCTTTGGGTAGCAGTTCAGTCAGGGCCCTCGTCTATCCACAAACAGCAGATTTAAAAAAAAAATAAAAAAAAACATCCCTTATGCTGTGATTGCGGTCCGATACAGCAGGATGCTACAGTACTTGTCTGGAACTGAATGAAGCCAGGCAGTTAGCTGCCTCTAGTGGAGCCAGGCAGGGCGCTACAAGGACCTCACAACAAGAAACAAAAAAGGAAAACGACCTGTTTCATGTTCCTCACTTCCTGGCCAGATACAAGCGCTGGTGAGGGCCTTCCCGACATAGGTGGATTCGAAGTTCCTCGTTTCTTTACTTTTTTATTTCTTCTTTTTCTTTTTTCTTTTTTTGGCCTCCATCCCTGCCCCGAGACCCCCACTTCTTCGGAGTAGGCTACTCTTGAGACTTCGCATTTGCCTGTGAAGGGTATTGCCTGTGAATCTCGGCTGTGGCCGAGACATCTCGGCCGTTGCCCAACCATTGGGCTGTTTTTTTTTTTTTTT